CATATATGTATGCACACATTTATATACATAATTTTTTTTAGCGATATGAGCTTTTGTTTTTGGCTTGGCTTCGTATTTAGTTTGGGATATGGATTTGGCGTTATAGTAAATTTGAAAATTCAATAAACATAAATTTATGTAAAATAAACGCAAATTTCGTATGAAAGAAAAATATTATTTGCCAGCGTTGTGTGTGCCTGTGTATATATATATAGACCTTCTTAACCATCAATAACGCCAATGTGCAGAGCGTGGTAAATATATATACATATTGCTATATGCTGCGCAAAATTTTCATACGTATGTGTGCATAAATATTTTGGCAAACTGTGCGCAAAAGATAAAGTGAATCGAATAGTGTGTGTTCTATACAAAAATAAAAACAACGCGGAAAGGGAAGCTGGGCGGCTGGGCAGTCTTGCGACTATGCGGCGCTGCTTCGACGGCTATGCGCTATTTATCACAAATAAATGCAATTGAATTGATGTTTTATTATTTGCATTTCCTAGACAACCAACACACACACACATGCGTGTCTGCGCGCTTGCCTTCTTACAGCGCTGAGGCTCGCGTTGCTGCCAAATATGAAAATAACAATCCTTTAATATCCTTTTTACTTATTCTTATTCCACTTTTGTGTGTGTTTATTTTACTTACAGGAGATTTGCAGGTGCAAATCTGTTTGTACGCTAGAGGCGAAAACATAATTTAATAGTGGCTGCCCTTAAATGCAATGCAGAAGCGTGTGAGTCGAACATGTTGTTGTTATTGTTGTACAATATTATAATATTTTTTCATGCGAAAATCGCTTATTTTCGTTGCTTGCGGTGAGTGGCTGCCGATTTGCATATTTTATGGTGTTGGTATATTTGTGATTTTAGGAATACCCAAAATAGCTTGATAATATAAGTGAATAAGACAAAAGGAAGACAGCTCGAAGAAATGTGTCGGGATAAATCTGGATATCTGAATGACATTTTTAAATAAAATATTTATAGAAAAATTTAATGGAAATACCAATATTTTTTGTTAGTAAACATTAAGGGACTTGAACACACACCTTATCTTAAAGTCGTTGTCATTTCCTTCAAAATACTTGGATTGTTTTCTGCTAGTTAAATTGGCCTGATTCTTTAGGCAGTTTTTTCAACCTGGTTGTAGTGATTTCAACAGCAAAAAACATAAACGTTGTATTTGTGGTAAAATCAAATGTATTACTGGATGCCAGTTGTTAGAAGCTTGATCTTCTAATTACTTCGCCTTATCGAATTCGAGGCTCAAACACCTCGGTTCTCACATTTTCAGACTTCCAGGTGATGTAGCAAAAAGTGTATATACCTGTCTAGATGTAGCTCGGTTCTAGTTCCAACCATATGCATTTTTCTTACTGACAAAGGTCTGTTTTTAGTAGTCCAAATGTGATCTCCAACTTGAGGATCCATTCTAAAATGTTATCGAAAAAAAAGCAGGAACCTTGGAAGTCTATATCAACAAGCTTTTATTATACACAGAGTACTATTGGTGTGACATGCATTTAGTGGTACTATGAGTATTCTGATGAGTATTCTAGATTCTTCAAATACTATACTATACTACAGTGGCGTGGCAAGGTTTGAGTGACCACCTATGTACGAAAATTATAAAATATTAGCTCACAACACAGCAATGGTAAAGTAATCCTTGAAAAGTGTCAGCATTGTAAAGAAACAATTTCATTAGTAAAAAGCAAAATCTGGCGCCTTTTCGACGACACCTTTAGATTTATTTGCAAATGTACAATACATAAATGTATATAAGCTAACGGTAGGCTTCAACTGCACTGCTTTACGAGATTTGTCATTGCATTTCGCGCTCCTGCAAATACTTTCCTACAATGGTTGGTATCAACTTCATTTTCTAAAAATATTTATTTCGATGGCACATATGCCCCACCCACATGTTAGACCCAGTAAATAAGTGACAGTTCCATATTTATATACGTGTACTTCAGTTTATAAAAATCCGCCTCCAGCACCGCCCATTCTTAAAAGGCATTGTGCTCATGTGTCACTGGCGTCAATACGACTAACTGCGCTAGAGTCGATATGCTCTATGCTGACTCCTACACACCACACAATCACCAGCATTTCCGCTTGGCGACAGTCGTTTTCTTTATTCAATTGTACACACCCTTCGCTGTCTGCTGATTAGAATTTCTGCAATTGAAAACTCATTTGAATGCCTTCGAGAAAGTCTCTTACTCGACTTGCAGAAAGTTCGCTTTGTTCATACCTTGCTAACTTGACTGTATTTGTCATGCAGTTATTTCTTTCATACAAAGTTTTCGTAGAATATACACACGTAAGTACGTTAGTTCCTTAAGGAGTTGAGCCCGCATGGTCGCCAACACCTTGACCACATGCATGCATGCAGGCGCAGCGTGCAAGTGCGCATCGTGTGGCCGCAAGCTTTGCCAACGAAATTGAATTTAAAAGTTTTTGATTTAGGGGGTGGCTATGAAAACTACATAAGTTTGTTTTGCTGACTTTTTATTTTTACTTTTTTATTTCGCTCATTCTTTATGCTCTTGCTTTTGGTTGTCAACGTGTCAGACGAAACTTTTGTTTGTTGTAGGAACTTTGACGCAGTTTCTCATCGCTTTGAGCAGTTCAGGTAGAGCAGGCTATTCGGAAGTTTCGTAATCAAAATTTTGTATTTTGTAATGTTCTGTGGTTGGACTTTGTCAGAAGCCCTTAAGCATTTACAATCCTTATTGTCTTAGAATTAATTAATCAAAGACTTATCTAGCTTTTGAACCATCAGCAATGGTAGGTTTTAATATATTTATATCCTTTATAAGTCAAGCGACATAATTCGTAAAATTCAATATTACCACAGACGACGAACGACTTTGCCCGTTTCAAGAAATTAGAATAAGACAACCCAAGTCGTGTTCAGAACACTATAGTGAGTTTAACAATCCCAATTTTGGTTCCATGTACAATCAATCGCTATATCTCTCTTCGCATGCCTTTGCAAACTAACTTAACTAAAATTTCTTTGCTAGTATCGACCCTTAGATGAACTAATTCAAAACATTTGGTATTCTATAATAATCCAAGCTAAGGACACAACACTATATTTGCGTGGTACCATTACTCTCTCTTATAGGAACACCAATAATTACCTTTGCTGCCGCAAATCTCAGTCTTAAGAGTTGCAAAAAAACAGAGAAACATCTGGAATGTTGTGTCTTGTCCTATGTCTACAAAATAATTCTGAACCATTAACATGGTCAGTTCGGGTCTAGTTATAATTTTAGTAACTTAATTTTAATATATTGTGTCTTTAGGATTCTCAAGGTAAAATACTGACGCCCCGAAAGTATATATATAAATCTAATGATTATGGGAAATAAATATATATTTATATCATATAATTATGGGATTTTAATATGAAGTCTCATAAATCTAGGTATAGTAAACAAAAATGAACTCGGTCGGTGTTCCAGCCAAGTCTTATATTGTAATGCATATGGGTGATTTCGAAGTGAAGTAAGTCCACAAGGTGGCGCTGAGATCAAAGTTGAATGTATTATAAGCAAATCGGCCGTATAAAGGACAAGAATTATTATATTATATTTACAATAAACAACATACAAGTATATGTAAATAATTAGTTTCACTATTAACTATTCTGTTGAAATATTTGATTACAACAACAGCAAACTATTACAATCAGCTCTGAAGACTAATTACGTACTCTCATGCATGAATTGCTGCAAAGCAAAAACATAAACAAATTTTCCATATTTAAAATTTTTAATGATGCCATAATGTCATATTAGTGAACAAATAGCAAGTCATTACTCAACTGGCAATGAGCATTGTTTATTAAATAAAACGGTGATTTGAAAAATAAACAACAAATATAAAAATAATAGAAAATGTAAATATGTAATAATTTTTGTATAGTTTAAGAAACATTATATTTCAATTTGTTTGAACCATACTCCCTAGCCAAGTGTTGACTGAAAGTTTGATTGCATAATTTTTCGCTCAATTTATGTTTAGTATGCCTTTCTATGTACCTAAGTATATATGCATAAATATAAGTATATCATATATATTCATATGTAAATCAGTGGGTAAAATTGTCAACATCATTAATCAACTTGAAAAATAAGCACAGAAAAGGTGGCAAATCTAACAAAATGCTGCATTTCAAGCGCAATTTATTTCCTTTAAGATGCTTAATGATATATTTTTCAAATTGTGTGTTAGTTTACTCAAATGAAATTGAGAGCAATTGAATACAGTTGCAGCTCTGCCGTGCTGTGGCTTAAAAATAATGTTTTTTGGCTTCAAATGTGACAGATGTGCGGTAACTGGATTTACAAAAGCATGTTTGACATGTAAAATGCACTGATTGTTAGAAAATTTTAGATAGTTTTTATAATGAAAATTCGTTTCAGGCAATCTGTTTATCGTCTATTTTCACATAACCTCAAAAATGAGCTTGTTATTTTGTCATATTTCTCAATTATTAATTTTATTAAAATTGAATTTAATTATTTTACTAAAATAATATTTACGAAAAAATATTGTTAAAATAAAAAAAAAGCATTCAAACATCAATTTTCAAAAATTCAAATACGCAAGAAAATTTTAAATATATTTTCTAACTTTTTCTAAATCTTTAATTTCTTTGTGCTCGTTTGCAGGTTTTGAATCTGTAAAGCAACAACTAATCTGTTAAGTTTTGCCTCTGCTGTTTACCTTTGAGCTACTCATTATATACCACTTCCTCATTTGGAAAATCTTAATCGAGGTAAAATGCTTACCTTCTGCAGATCAAACTTGCCTTATCACACCACACTTAATTTTAAGAGTTAAGTCGAAATTGTGAATGCTTTTCTCTGATATCAGCGATAACCGATTTCATTGAAGAGCTGTCTTAGATAAATACTTAGATAAATACACTCATAAACCTATCTTAATTTCGAAAAAAAAACTCACATATTACTTTTAAAATCACACAAAAGGTGCATGCATTTTATTTGCTACATATGGAAGTGTCTTAAGAGTATTAATCATAATATTTTTTTTTCGCATAACTACTAATACTTGCTGGCATTTAAATAATGATAGCACCGTGCTCAGCCACATAACATTGGCGCAATTGGAAGGCAGTGTCACAGTCGTCGGTACCCTTCAAACCATTGCACTTAGCTTGAATAGCCTTAACTTTCTCGTCGCCAATCAATTTGCCCAGTGAGTTCTGTACGACTTCCTCATTGACCTTACCATTCTCGACATAACCCAATTTGCCGAGCATACACTTGGCGAAGCATTTGACTTTGTCATCGACTTGGCTATTATCGCCCTTAACGACAGCACGAACCGCCTCTTCGGCAGCACCGGTTTCCTTCAAACATTCAGCGCCCAAAGTGTGTACCTTTTGCTTCTGCTCCTCGGTCAATTTGAGACCGGCCTGCAGTAGTAGTAGTATGTATGATTAGGCGTTAGAAAGAATCTTAAAAAATATTTATAAATTTATCAGTTATCGTTTACCTCTTGCGCAGCAGCGACGGCGACGAAGGCAAGTACAACAACAACAGCAAAAAATTTCATGTTTGTCAATATTTTATTGTTTGTGGTTATTGGTTTGAAAAAACGGATTCTACTTGTAGTTCTCACTTTGAGCGTTGGCTGTGAACTGTTTGCCGGTTGCTGGACGAATTGTCTTTTTATATGCGCTTCGAAGCCGGCAGCTCGTATGAGTGATTTTGTTTACTATTTTGTATACGTTTTTTTTTCTTTTTGTTTTATTGTTATCTTCGTTTTGTTTTAAACACATTAAGCGAGGCTTTAATTCTAAGTAGTCTTTTACACTTGATTCACTTGTTTTTGATTTATTTGCTTTTGTTTGTTCAAGCTTTGCGCAATTAAGCAGCCGGCAAATTCAAAACAAAAATATAAATATATACATCCATATGTGTGTGGTGTAGTGAGTGTATATGTATGTGTGATTTTAAAGTGAAATTATATATTATTATTTTATTAGTAATCAAAACCATACTTTATTTTTCAGCTTACATACATAGACGATGTATGAAATTCAAGATCAAAAATTGTATGTATGGAATATATTGCTCAATATTTAAAATCTCCCCAATTCCAACTTTAATTTCCCAACGACATGAAGTGGTATGCTTTTCTGATCCCAGATATTTTTCTAGCCACCATATAACCGATATTATGGTTTTTATTATTATAGTAGGCTCTAGATCATATATATCGACTTATATATAAAAAACCTTATCGAAATGAAATGCGCAATTTTATGCGCCCAACACTGACGAAATCTGGTTAAGCGTTAATTTAGCCGCCAATTATCTTCTATCCAACACAGTATGGTATACTTGAAAAAGACGGGTCGATGCAGAAGATATTCCAATGAAATTAAATGACAGTAATTTACCAAGCATAATTAAATTTGTTTTCCGGGGGAAATTGATGCAGACCTTTCCTAAGCCCCAGGTTTTTTTGTTTTAATTTTTTTTTGGTCTATTTTTACTAAGATAAAATTTTCCTTAAATAAGTTGCTCATTTTAAGTTGCTGAGCATAGTGCATACCCTTACTGACTTATTATAAAAAATTTGACTACATTTTTAGTAAAAAAATAAAAAATAAACAAATAGGTATAGCTTAGATTAAAAGGCCATACTCCAAAGCGGTTGGATGATGATTTTGATAAAAGAAAGTTCGAATAATACTAATTTTCAGTATTTCTAAACTCTAATTATTTTGAATAATCTTAGGTCTACGAATATAATATATTTTATTTTATTTTCACATTTCTTTCTTTTTACTTTTGATGTGTTTCAAGCTCAAAGAGCATCAGTAGCTTTCCATTATGCGTAAGTGATTCATTAAATCGTGTGTCTTTTTTGTTTACATTGGAAATCGACGAGCAGTTGAAGGCAGATAATTGTTCTGAGATAGTTCTGAGCCGTGTTATTGCTTTCCCATTTTTTATTTATTTTTTATTTTTTTTTTATTTATATAACTTGAATGTTTGCACTTTATTTTATCTATTCCACTCATTTCTATCGCCATCGAAAAATCGCGCTAAAACCGGCATATAATGATCAAAGAAAAAGTACCAACTCACCGTAGTCATCATTATCATTTTTTTATAGTAATGAATATATTTTTTTATTTATATCAGCTGGCGTGAGTACAATTGAAATCAATCTTCTCGACTTCACTTAATTCAATTGTTTTATTTGTTGCTTTTCGCGCTTTTTTTTCTAACAAGCTTTTGCAGCCAAGGAATTTTTTTTTCAGATGCCAAGTCTCACACGCTGCCATATATGTATGTATGTATGTGCGCTTGTGGTAGTGAAAAAAAACATAACAGCTTATAGAAAAACATGACAGTCCCCCTTTTTTCTGTTAAACAAACTAGTATCTATTGCCATTGTTTACCCATGTCTACCTGGGCCCGCTGCTCTAAAGCGGTCAAAGTAATTGACAATAAAAAAGACTTAAAGCGTGTGCCATGCTTTGAAGGCGAAACGAAGTTGAAAAAAGACGTGCGAAAAAGTTCAAAGTCTATTTGAAATAAAAACAAAAAAATGTAATTCGCTTTGCCTCAACAATTCTTTTTGACGATTCGGCTGAAAAATTAGCATTTTTATAAATAAAACGTAACGAATTTTTTCACATTAAAGCAGTTTAAGAAATATATTAAGCATATAAGCAAAGATCATGACTTTACACACAGTTAATTGTCTTAGAATGCATGCGCATATGAGCTGTTAGTGCAGCTCAACGCATTTGAGGGCGTTGCCAACACTACAGATTTTAGTTGTGTCATTACAGTTATCTGCTTCATTTTTTATCTGATTTTGTATACATTTTACTCTACTTAATTCCTTGCGGTATCATTAAATACTCGTTAAGTTTTGCAAGAAATGTCAACGACGTCTTTGCGACGGCTTCCGCTTTTGCGTGCAACGGAAATTGGAGGTTACAGCATATATGTTACCGTTGTCATCCCATACATGTGTGCATATACATATTTATTCACACTTGTTCTTATGTTTACGTTACTACCATAAACAACCCGGACTGTTTCAATTATGGAATCTATGAAACTAGCAGCTTAAAGCACGAAAAGTATTTTGGAAGTTACTAAGCCCAAACAGCGCTAACTTTGCATAACATTGAAGCAAGCTAGTAGCAATTAGTAATTAGTAAAATTGTATTAATTACTTAATTAATCAATTATTTCATAGTCTAAAACAAAGTCGGAATTTCCATATTTTTTGGGAAGTCCATGAGTTAAGTTTATCTAAGGCGTGATCTTTGTAAGATGCTAAGTGTGGTTAAACTTGTTTAGATTATCTTTTGTTGTTTGCATATAATCTGGTTATACTTTTACGATTCAGCAATATTTTTTAAATGTCAAGTATTAACACATATTCATTTAACCAAGATGTATACCGTACTATTGTATGCTTCTTGCTTATATTATAGCCTATAATTAAGTTTAGTCTAATATATGTGTATAAGTATTAATTTACACATTGTTCATCTTTAACGCAGATTGATCGCGCAATCAAATCATTATTAAGCATGAAATTGATAGCATCAGAGCTACTTAGTGAAATGCTCATTAAAATAATTTCAAGTACACCATACACACCAGCCCTTGACGCTATACATTTAGTAAGTACATATGTATATACATGTGTAATTGAAAACCGAAATAAAATGCTCATAAAAACCTACTTAATTTGCACATTAATTGTTAATTAAGTATGTAGATGAGAGGTAACTGAAAAGCAATAAACATGCCGTATTTTGCTTGGCTAACTAAATGATCGACACAAAGCCAAGTAAGATTGATTCAAAAGTAAGTCTGCGTCGATGCTAAACATTTGCATATAACTGTCGAAGAGAATATACTCTTTCACGCAAATATGTCTCATATACATTTGTAAATTCAATGAACTTTGTACCGCATTAATAACAATCGGCTTTTGAGATAGATCGACTAAGTATACGAATAAACAGATGAAAAGATTCAACATACAAGTAAGGGCTAAGTGAGAGTTTAGATGTAGCAAAATGCAACTTATGTGACTCAACAATAGATGGTTTAGTCTACAACAAAGTTATTGAAATACAAATTAGCACAAACATAAATACTATATAAAATGATGTTTATAGCACGAAAATGGCCTGCCTAACAAGTCTGACTCATATACGAGAATTTTTCATAGCTTTCAGACTACACTTCATAAATCACATAGAACTTATATAAAAGCTTATATTTAAGTTAATATATAAAATATATAATATATTATACATATATATATATTTTCAAAATTTTGAAAAATTTTTCAATTTTCAACTTTTAATTTCACTTCATGTCTAGACAGTATAATTAGTTTGTAAACAATGTTCTATACACACTTTTATATCTGCAAGCAAAAATTGTTTTGTTAATATTAATCGCTAATACTGGCCTAAAAGTGCGATTGAATTCAAAGTAATTTAGATAAAATAAAAAAAAAAAATTACTTTATCATTAAATCAGATTATTCAATTGTAATGACTATATTCCTTAATTACATATATTCAAAAAAAAAAAAAGTATAGATATATATACATATGTGTATGCGAAATACAATATAAGTACGCGTATATTATTATATATTCTCGAACACGTTAATTTAATTTATATTTGACGATTACGTAATTTTAAGCGCATAAATTACACTTGCTTGCAATAAAAATGAAACGAAAATTTTCTTAAGATACTTTTTTCACGTAAATGCTATACCTAATACCGGTATACTATGTATAATCAAAACATTTCCGAAGTGTCTATATTAAGCGCAACAGGTGTAAGCTGTAAACTAGAGCAAACTTCTCTCGTCAGCTGAAAACTATAAAATAAACTCCATAGTACACTACAACTTCGAGGAAATGAAATTGAATATTTTTGTAGCCACTTTAATTTCACTCAGCGCAGTTGTCGCGGCACATGAGGTAAGAGCAAGCACAGATATATCTGTAGAACAAAATATTATTTTATACACTAAATTCCTTTTATGCATTACTAATTTCGCAGTTGAAGTCCAATAAGCCAACACAAGCCCACCAGTACTACGAGCATTGCCTAAAAGAGTCGGGAGCAAGTGCAGCGCAGTTGGACGCTTTGAAGAGGGGTGATTTCAATGCGATCGATGATAAAGCGAAATGTTTTCTAAAGTGTCTCGAGAATAAGAAAGAACTTTTAAAAAATGGCGTGCCAAATGAAGCGGGCAAAGGTAAGCTACCAATGCCAGCTATTGGTAATAGCGCACCAAGAAATGTACTAGCCAAATGTAATGGCTTACAGGGTGCCAACGAGTGTGACACCGCCTTTCAGTTATATAAGTGCTATTTGCAGGAGCATGTTATCTTGATTTGAATTTTTTTCATTTTCAATACAATCTTATTTTAAGCAAACCTTATGTATAACAGAAATAAAATGCATTTAAGCCAACAAAAATATTAAACGCGCAATCGTTTGGTCATAATTCAAAAGCTATGTATGTGTCAATGTTTCATGCTATCAATAATATTTTCAAACACCCAATTTGGTTAAAGCGCACTTTTCAAATTGATATAGCCTATCACATTGGCTGGTACCTTTGACCGACTTGCATGAACCCAATGCGCCAGCTAACTTGGTTTTATCTGTAATACCGCTAGCCTGCGACATATACTCAAGTGTTTTAGCCGCATTCGTTTTGCCAGCAACATCGATGAGTCCAAGTTCTTTGTAGTAGCAAAGCTGGAAACATTTCAAAGCCTCAGAATCGTTTTGAATGAGTTTACTAACAACAGCGGCGCCTCTAATCAGATTAGCATCGGCGTCAGTTAGCTTGGTCTCAGTGATGCATGCTTCACGAGCAGCTTTATCATCGGCTGCGTGTAGCTAAAATTTGGGGAGGAATATACATTTTTTTATAATATATTACGCAAAGTTTCGCACAAATATGTCAGACTTACCTGTGTTATAGGACTGCAAATGAATACAGCAAAGAGCAGTTGAAATAAACTGTAAGATTTCATTGTGATGCTTTCCAAAAACAAGTGATAAATTTCGCTCTGAAATATGCGGTATAAATAGTGGAAAATTTAGTGCCAAAAAACTTTATAACAATTATTTAACCTTACTACTTTTTATAGCAAAAATTGTGTCATTAATTTATTAAATTATTTTACTGTTATTTAATTAACACAATACATTTGCACTTAAAGCAGAAAAAACTAATTTACCTAAAAATTCGAGATAACCATGTAAATTTTTTATGTTAACCTTTAGTTAACTTAATTAGATTGATACTCGAAAATGCGCTGCGCTGAGCGCAACCATACAACAATTTGTGCCAGTGTTGCAAACTATTTCGGGCGTCAAAGCGGGCACAATCTATGATTCACTACGAAAGAGTATAATGTAAGTACTTCTGCAAAAAATTGGTTTAATCAGTTGCCTAAGAATCTATATCTAAAAAGAAGTTTTCAACTCAAAATTATCATAGTATTGAACTGAGCATGTTAGTTGGAGCGCGGCCCAACAAATATTTTTTTAAGCCGCCGTTTAAAATAATTCAGATTTTTAGGTGATTTTCTATACGAAAAAAGTAAGAGTTGATCTCCTCATCTTTCCACTTCGATTGATTTTGCGAATAACAAACAAGAAAAGCAATTTATTTTCTGGACTTCAAAAGTATAGTGTGGAAAAATTTTGGTTAGTGTAATAAAATAACTTTGGAGCACTTGGTGTCAAGCAGATACGATTGACTGTTTAAGCGCGATGGTGAAATTTAAGCTCTGGTTGTATGAAAAAGTAAGCACACGGGTTAAAAAATAATTCCGAGAGCGTCAAGTTTCTCCGTAATATTTACCATTAAGACCATAAGATTAAAATTATTTTGTGAAGGCAGTTTGAATAAAAAATTTCTGATTTTTTCCAAAAAAAATAACAATGAGTACGCAGTGATGTTATAAAAAATGTTAAATTATGCTTCATTCTATATTATATATACATGTACATATATTATTAAGAACTTTCAATTTTGAGAGAAATTACAATTTAAACACTGCGATTTGGTATCGAAGAACCGAAAAAACAAAAATTTGAGTTGCCGAACATTGAAACAAACGTGTAAACAACTATTAAGCTTGCTATTACAAGTATAATAGATAATAGCGGAACTTTATTTCTAATAATAGCATAGCAGCCGTACGCCCAACCATTGTGCTGTTTCACAGTTTCGTATTACTGGTTACAAACTATTCTCAACTAAGCCTCATCCCAATTTTGCAACAATTCTCTGAGCTCCACATCTGAATTGACCCGCTTCAACTTCCTTTTCAACTTTTTTAACTTCTTTTTTAGTGCAAAATCCTCAGTTTTAACATCCACCGCATCAGCAAATGTTGGCTGCGTTGCTTCTGTTTCTGCCGTAGCGTAGTTTTTCTGCGTAGTTTCTGTTGCCGGTATTTCTACGCTTTGCTCGTCATCCCTTTGGCCAGGATATGCGCTCTCCAGCACTTTGCGTATACGATTCTCCTCTTCAAATGTCTTCAAACGTGCGTAGCATAAATGCATTTTGTATGAAGATTCACATTTATTATTTGTATTTAAATTCATACACTCCTTCACCAAATGGCGTTCCCGGCCCACAATCGCATATAACTTCGCAAAAAGCTCTTCCCTCATATACACACCTTTTGAGATTAGTCCCAATTGTTCGTAGAGACAATAGGCGAAACATTGCAATGATTCGTCAGCTTTCCCACCACTTTTGAATGTCAAAGCATCTTCGTAATCTAGCGCATTATTCTTGGGCTCATTTATATGCGGTTCAGTTTCATAAATAATACCATCTATTTCGGTTTCTTCAGAGACGAAATCATCCTCCTCCATATCATACAAATTTGTTTGCTGCGTACTCGAATCATCGGTGGCGTTTAGTTCAGGATCGCGAGTGAGCAAACTCAGTCGAAAACGTTGCAATTCCGCCATGGAGAGTTCGGTTTCTTTCATACACGAACGCAATACAGCAGCGGTGAGTGCGGGTCGTGCTTGTTCTTGCTGCAGTTGTTGACGGTGTGCTTCCAAAAGCTGCCTATGTCGTTCCACGTGCATCGTTAGGGACATGTTGACGGAGAGCGTGATGGTGCGTGACTGTTGATGAACGCAATATTGTTACTCGCCACATAATAAAGGGTTAGTTTATTGCACAATCCTTACCTTTGCATGTTGCACTGTGGCGCAGAGCAAAATAGCGAGTAGGCTTAGTGTATAATACATAGAAAATTCAATATTCTTTTCCACCTGAATGTCTGCCCAAATGCATTTATGCTTTTTGAAGTTTTAATAAAAAAATGTATATAAAAATGTACGTGTTGGCGTTCAGCCATTAGCTTTTATAGACGATGCAAATTAGCTATAAAAGTTGTCGATCAAAATTGTATTGATTTGTTTATAATTACAGCAATTGTAATTATAGTTAATTAGCTTGCTTTATGGACATGGAATGAATACCTTTACGCTTCAATGGAAATGTTGATGTCTGCTATTTTGTCATTATGGCTACGTTATTAACTTTGGTTTATTATTACACTTTAACCCGCGTGTTCACTGTGAATTTGAAGTCTTGTATTTTTCATACTAAAATTGAAATATGGTTTTCGCCGAAGTCAGGTAACCATATATTATTAAAGAAAATTTTGTAAAGCTTTTTTCATGTTTTATCAAAAAGGAAACCTTTGTTATAAATAAGATTTCACAAAAAAAAAATGAAAGCTTTCATGTAAAAGCTTTATAGGTATATAAGCTTTTATTGATTTTGAAGTCGAATCAAATATCACAGTAGAAATTCGCTGCACTTTTTCTGTAAGTAACTGAGCTTTTCTTTAAAAACTTTACTACAAATTCCTAAGGGATTCCCTATAAGCAAATAAAAAATTGTGAAAGCTTTAGTCATGCTATATTGAAATTCACGAGCCAACCAACGCGCACTTTGTTTAGCTTTTATTTCATTTGTTTGTCAATACTTGTTTTCATTTTTACAGCCACTGTTGAGCTGTTGTTGTTGGCTTTGATTTACACAGATTTGTTTACTTTTGCAGTTAAATTGCCAACAACAACAGCAACTACAACAAGCGCTTCCAATACGGCTGCGCATAGCTCGATCGTTGTATAGAGCTTAGACTTTAGCTCTAGCCATGCTCATATAGAGCCAAACATACACTTTTATACATACGCACAGACACAGCAAGACTCATGAAAGCGCATAAAGCAAAGCCTTGTGCATTTTTAAGTGCGTTTTGATTGAGTTTTGTTGACATTTCGTTTCATTAATTGTTTGCTTTTCATTTTCGACGACATTACGTGGCATGCCATCAGCATAGCGCCGCCACCACCAACGCCTCAACAGCTTCGCGCATTCTGCTGCAATGCGATTCTGTGTATTTACCAATTTACAACAAACAATTTTTTGCCATCGCTTTCACTGCCAATGCTGTTGCTTTTCTGCTCTCCTTTTCAACAGTGGAAGTTTATAATTTCTTTGTTTTCTTTCCCCTCCTGCTATTACCTTTGCATAGACGTCGTGCAAATGCTTACAAAAGCTTTGCGTGCTGTTTGGGGTGTAACGCTTATTGTTTGTTGGAGTTTATTTTCGAGTTTATTGAGTGGAAACAAGCGATTAATCGAATTTTTAATGAGCAAAAGTTTATGAAAAATTTATGTCAATTTAAGCATTGGCCACCTGCCCTTTTCTTGTTGACCAGCATATGCTCCCTCGTGTGTACCTGCTTTGTTAGTATTTTTATTGTATTACAAGAAGACTCGAGTTCCCAAGCGGTTTGTTACTTCTGCGTACTTGAAAATATCTGAGTGATAAATGTATTGGAAAACTTAGAGACAGTTTTTAAGCGCAATATTTGATATATATTTTAACCTTGAAAGATATGTACTATAATCGAATGATATGCTCAAAAATATTTATTTTAACAAATAAGCAAATATTTTATTTTCTTATTACTCATACATTTAAAAAATCCAATATACATACTATACATATGTATAATCTTGCGTACGCCCATTTTCCATAAAAAACTCCACTCCTAATGAATCTTACAATATGATTGCAGTTCTTTCTCTTCTCCGTCAACAACGAGTTTTATTTGTTTTTAATTTGTCAGGGTATGCATATGTCTACAAACTTGAAGAACGTGGCATGCAAAAACAAATTGGAAAAGCAATGCGTGTGTTTGAAGATAAAAACGTTTGTAAAAACTTGTCCCAATAGCAGCCAATATGCAGGGTAAGTTTAGGTAAAATATGCTGGAGATATAATTGCTAAACTGAATATTTTGAAAAATGTATTGCCTACATTTTGGCGCAATGCTTCAATGATTACATTTAATTGTAATTTTCTAACAGAAAGTCTTTATAACATATAAATGGTAGTTTATTTTCATTAGCAGCAATACAAAATAAGGTGTATTGTTCTTACGGCAACACTTTCTTATGGCTGTGTCTTAACCCGTCTTCGCCCGTTTGATGTTTGAAATATATAACCAAGCAATTTCAAAAAATTTTAAGGGTTTTTGTGCTCGTATAAAATCTCATAAGTGCTGCCATGAAAGCGTTTGATAGTGTATTCTCGTTTTGGCAATGAAATATTGAACTTTTGGAACACAGAGCGCCATCTGAAAGCGTTTATTCAATTACGTAAAAATCAACGCGCACTAAATTACAACTGTAATTCCAAGACGATTCAAGCGAATTTTTGATATTTTTCTACTTGAAGGTTAAATTCTATGCTTTCTTACACATGTTTCCACTCTTTATAGAATGCCCCCAAAAACTGTAACACTCTACATCAACATACCAGTAGTAGTAGCCAGCAGCCGTAGAAAGAGTTAATTGCGACAATGTTTATTTAGATGCGACGTGTTCATTCCGTCAAATCAGAGACAAGGGAATAACACACAGACACACACTTAAGCCAGTTACACGCTATAGTCTTATAAAAACATCTACACATCAGTAAGAAGTTAGTTAGTTTTCTCTGAAAATCTTTATGCTTCACTTTCAGTGTGTTTGCCTTCACTTTTATAATTAAAATGTTTGTTTGATTGGTTTACGCGTTACTTTAAAATTCATGCTACAGAGCACAGCTTTCAAACCAATATTTGCGGACCACATATACTCACACTTTCAGTCACAGCGATGTTTTGGCAAATAGAAAGATAATAGCTGAAAGGAATACTCTTTGAAGTGTTGCATGTTTGGTCAGGAAGCAAGCTGCGTTTTCATTATTTTTCCGTTATTAACGAAATTGAGTTTGGTTGTGGTTGAAAAATTGTAAAGATTTTAATCAAATATAATTAATTTAATTGATTTCAAAAGGACACATTGGTTAACAGGTACACCTTTTCATTGATAAATACAATATGTCGGAAACCGCAGTGACCATCAAAGGTGAAAGCGACACCGCAATCACGTAAAAAAATGGAAAATGGAGCAATATGTGATGGTAATTACTAAGTTGTCGTTTACTTAGTTTGTTTGTGTTAGTAAGAACACTAACAAGTTATTATGACCCTACGCTTAGATGAAAGGATTTTGATGAAAATATATCCTTTTTGGTTTGGAATATATGTACTTTGAAGAAATATTGCAAACGAATCATTATTTTACTCAGATATTGAAATAAACGCAGATCAGCTAACGCTCGGCTGGGTTTCGAGCAAAACCATTGTTTGATTCGAGAACAGGAAAGAAAGAAGAAGAAGTGTGAACCGCAATCGTTGTAAACAATATTTATTTATTTTAAAGCGAGAAGCTCCCGGTCTTTAGAAATCTATTGTGACTCTTAATCTTTACTTCTGAGTCGCCGAGTGAAGGGAGTCACTTTCTTGAATACTGAATTCCACATCAGAAAAAATCTCACCCCCTTAACCCACAAAGGACACACCTATGGCATGGTACACGACCGTGCACTGATAATACGTATTGTTTTATTGCCATTAAGACATCATATAAATATAAAATTAAAGGCAATAAATTCATAATGTCAACTGTCAACAGGAAACACCACACACACACAAACACACACACTTACATGACAGTTTGTGCAAAATTTATGATTCAACAGTTAAACTACAGCAAAATCGCACAGGAGCCAAGCAAATGGAGCAATGCATGCAAACATAGTAAATAAATAGTACCAACAATAATAACAACAACAACAAAATATGGCTCACTGTACAGGCACGACATTTACAAGGTTAATAAGCAGTAAAAACGACTAATAAAAAGTGAAGAAAGGGAATATGCGGCTAAGGACACATGGCATAAAAGTAGCTGAAAAGCACAAAAACCAAATAAAAAAGTTGGGAATTAACTCAAGTTTCGATGAGTTTATTACAAGTCATAAAATTATTTCATTGTTTTTCATAATGCTACATGTTTGTGTAAGCGCACGCACACATGCACATGCATTGAATATATATGAATTAGTGTGTGTATGTGCATTTGCGAATGTATGTGTGTATAGGTATGTGCCAGCACATATTTCACTTGTTTATTATTGTTGATTTCTGCGCTTTTTACGACTGTTTAATATTATTGCCAACAAGCACTGCATGCATGTGTATGTGTGAAGGAGTGGTATCGGTGTAAGTGACATAATAAATAGCTAAATAGTTATAGTTTTTGTAGAAATTATTTTGTAGTTACTTAGATTTGGCGCAATTTCGCTAAATGCTAGGCAAAGAGAATTTCGAACAGGCGAAAATCAGGTTTATTAACTAATTAATTTATAAAAAACTATATTTTTTGTCTTAAAATTAATATATTATTCCCAGATAAAACATGAAAAATCGCTCAAACTACAACCTTTACGGCTTGCTCTAGACCCTACTACAAAAGAACAAAAGTAGTAATAATATTAATTTAGCAAGATACATAATAATATGTCTGCTTAGCGAGTAATAAATAATAGTTTTATGTCAGGCCTGAAATTTGTTCGCAAGCCAAGTGTTGAAAGTTACTTCATGTCCCAACACAGACTACTCTGGGAAAGTGAAAGCATGCTACAAAGAGTGAACTGCAGCTACGAACTACTATTCGTGCCGTTATATACTCGCTTATATAACGGTATTTCGGTAAAACGTAATAAGGCAATGCATACGTTTATGTCACGCGAGAAAGTATTTTCGACGACAATTCGTGGACGTGTGATTACTCTAATCATAACGCGATATCAACAAGAGAAAATGGAGTATAAATATATTTCATAACAAAAAATAAAAAGTAAATAAAAATTAACAAATAATTCA